GATGCTATATTATAAATAAAAGATTATTTAATATAAAATTTTATTAAAATACTTTTTTAAACAAAACTTTAAGTTAGTTTCATTTTTATTTTCCACCACTGTATAATTTTTTTGTTTTTGTTTTGTTTCAGGTTTGTAATATAAGAAAAATTATGTAAACAATGTATAATGAACAGACAGGATAGACAAAGTATTTTCAATGAACACTCAGAGCAGATGCTTAACTGTGGTGGTAGAGATAAGAAGGAAGAGACTAAAGTATATGATCTACCAGATATTATAGAAGAAAGTGCCAAATTAGGTAATGTAAATCTTTTACACAAGAAGAGTTTATCATCAAATATAATTGACAATTTATTAATTTCTCATAAACAAAGTAAATATGATGAATCTTCTAATAGTGTAATTGCTAAAGTGGTTGATGGAGCAATTGATAAGATTAATGGAAGCATTACCAGTGATAAGAATACAATAGATATTTCTATCAGTAAAATTCATAAGATCTCCAACCCACTCATAACTGATAGAACATTTTCATTTCAAGATTCACTTGATTTTTTCAAGAATCTATCAAAGTCTAATGAAAGTTCAAACGATTTAGTTGATAATGAGGTGATTGATAAGATTGTAAGTGAAACGAGTAGTAGTAGAGTTCATAAAAATTCTCAACAACTCGTTTCCAGTAGAATATTCTCATTTCAAGATTCACTTGATTTTTTCAAGAATCTATCAAAGTCTATTAAAGACACAAATGATTTAATTGATAATGAGGTGGTTGATGAGAAATGTGATAGTATATATAGTAGTAGAATAGATGTGTCTACTACCAGAGTTCATAAATCCACCCAACCACTTATTACTGATAGAATGTTCTCATTCCAAGATTCTCTCAGTTTCTTTAAGAATCTTTCAAAATCTAATAAAGGTTTAAATAATAAAACTGCAAGCATTTTATATCAAGAAGAATTTAAGTCTCATGTAAACAATCATAATAGAATTAAAACCTACCAGAAAGACAATTCAAATATAACAAACTTTAAAGACTTCTAATTTTAATTTTATTAATTATCAACCACAATTAAATAAAATTAATAAACAATTTATATTTTTTTATTACTTTTTCAACAATAAAGATTGATAATTTATTATTTAAAATTTAAAAGAAAGAAAAAAAATTAAAATCTTTTAAGATATCAATTTAATCCAAAAAAATTAAATAAACAAAAATTAAATTAAATAAAACTAAGCATATCAATTCTGTTTTATAAATATATTACATATAATTGTGAT